TACTTCTATTTAGCTTTGTATAAAACATGTTGAATGACAGGACCATGAATTCAAGGAGTTGAGCAAGCACTGTGTTAAGTAGATGTGTTAAGGATGTAAGGTGAAAAAACCTAGGTACTGAGTATTTGTGTGTGTGTGTATGTGTGTGTGTGTGCGTGTGTGTGTGTAATTCATTACTGTGGTAGTGAAGGGGGAGTATTCTTGAGGTATTTGGGGAACACTTCATTGAGAAGAAGGGAATTTAGAAATTGCTTAAATGCAAAAGAGATTTCCTAGAAGATGATTGATTGCAGTGTATGGTTGAGATATGCTAGGGTTAGGCTTATGATATGGTCAAGATATGGTAGGGTGCATCTTAAAAGAAGAATTAAAGGAAGAAGATAACTGAGGAAGAAATGTGAAGGGGTTAGTCTGCTTCAGACAGATCTGTCAGTAATCATTTCTGTCTTTCTTAAGCTAGGAATTCCTTGGCACTGGCTGCTAGATGATATGTGTGAGCCTGTATTTCATAACTTATGTTTGTATAGCATATATTCATTCATAGATTCCCAGTTTTAGCCCTTGGTGCATCTCCTTTGATATCTTAAAAATACAGAGCCTTAAGAGTTTGTCCTGCGCATGTAAGGGATGTGGTAAGAGTCATCTGTAATCCCACCATATAGAGAAAATTACTGTTAATGTTAATATATCTTTTTAGCCTTTTTTTTTGTTTTTGCTTTAAAATTAGAATTATAGTATACATATGTACTGCTTTGCAGCTTGTTGTGTTTGCATCATAGATCATGAATACGTTAGCATTAAATATTCTTTTGTAACATAATTTTTAATAGCTGTATAATATTTTATCAAAGGGATGTACCATAATCTCTTATTGTTAGGGATTTGTCATTTCCAAATTTTCACGAATTTTTGTGATGAGTATACTCAGATATAGATTGTTTATCATATCTCTGATTGTTTTTGGTATAAATTATTGAATTTCTGGGTCAAAGGTATGAATATTTTCTGCATCTGATATGCATTGTCCAGTTTTCTTCCAGAAGGGTTAAATCAGAAGTCTTTCTGCTTCCCATTGCTTCTCTCCTAGTTGGGCTAGAAAAATTTCTTTTCCTAACATGCTAGTTTTTCTTTGTTTGCTCTATTTGAAAGATTCTTCATTTAGAATTAGGTAGAGTTTGAAAAGGAAATAATATGAATATTATTATTATTTATTACTTTATTTCATTATCTGATATTCTTCCAAAGTATTTTGAAGATCTTACTCTTCTGATCCAATTTTATTTAATTATGATTTCCTTTGCTAACAAAATAAGATTGTAAAGGTAAGAGAGGAAATAAGACTATGCTACTAGATTTTTGTGGTCAAAAGCCAAGAAACTGAGTACACATAATTTTACCCCTTTGCCCTTTGGTATTATTGTTCCTGTTAAAAAGGAAAATCAGGCAAAACATGAAACAGTACAATGTGATAGATAATGTGAAGGTTACAGTGACAAGACACTGGGGAGCAGACAAAAGATCTATAACAGTGTTTCCTTTCTTTTATGATTAGCTGTATAAACCAGAACTTATTTTTTAAACTTTGTTTATTAACATCAATGGACCAGGTTATATAATCCCTCCATTTAAGGAAGTAAGTGTGCATTGAAATATATAAAATATTTTAAAATCATTAAAAAATGTTACAGAGTTTATATATTTCTCAGAACAGTGGTTAAATAATTTTGTAGATTGCTGTAAAAGATTCTGAATTTGAAGTGCTATCTGTACAGTTGAAATGTCAGAAATTGAAAAGATTTCCACCAGATCCAGTGAATCTCCTCTCAGCTTGTGGATTTAATGAAGTCTTGCTTTTAGGGAACAAAATTAGTTCTTTATGGGCATTCCATGGATTTGAGAAAAGCCCCTGAAAACAGGATATGTTGACAGGGCCCCAAAGTAGTGTCTAAAGTTGATTTGAAATTTGAGTTTAGCTGCCAGTAACCTGTTTTTACTCTAACTTACTTTATTTGAAATGAAGTAAGCAATTTAAGTCTATAATAAGTTGACAAACTGTGGCCTGCAGGCCAAATCTGACCTGCCACTTGTTTTTATGTGACCTAATAGCCAAGAATGGTTTTTTCATTTTAAAATGGTTGACAAAATTCAAAAGGATATTATTTTGTGGCATGTGAAAATTACATGGAATTCACATTTCAGCATCCATAAATAAAGTGTTATTGGAACACAGCCATGCTTATTCATTTACATGTTATCTGTGGCTGCTTTTGTACCACAACCACAGGGTTGCTTTGCTGTGACACAGATCATGTGGCCCACAACACCTAAAATATTCACTCTCTGGTCCTCAGAAAAGGGGTTTGCTGATCCTTGTTCTAGAATTGTGTAGTCTCCTCTCCCTTTAAGTTTGGCTTAGGATATGATCATGAGGAAATAGTTTTCTTTTTAATATATTTTCTTTTCTGAGAAATGTGCAAGTCAGTATTCAGTGGTGATGCAGTTTGCATAATGTTCCCAAATTTAATTTGTATATAATTCTACTGTCAAACTTACTGAATGATATAGATAAGTGGCTCTCAAAGTATGGTTTTCAGACCCTTGGGTATTCTGGAGATCTTTTTAGGGGTCCCCAGGGTAGAAATTATTTTTGCAATTGCCTAGGAACTTACTTGCCTTTTTCACTGTGTTGACATTTGCACTCATGATGCAAAAGCAACGATAGGTAAAACTGCTTTGCCTGAACATGAATCAGGACAGTGACACCAGACTGTAGTTATGCCAGTGCTGATTTTACCTAAGAATGACCTTGATAAAGCAGTAAAAACTATTAATTTTTTATCAAATCTTGACCCTTTGGTACATGTCTTTTTTATATTCTGTGTGATAAAGTGGGAGATTACATAAAACATATCTGCCTAACTGAATTGCCATGGTTGTCTTGAGGAAAAGCACTTGTTTGAGCCGTGAACTAGCAGCTTTTCTCTTGGGACACCATTTTTGCTTGAAAGAACAATTGACAGACAAACTGTCATTATTCAGACTTGGGTATTTGGCAAATTGTTTTTCAAACGCAAACAAAATGAGCTGAGACTTTAAGGAAAACAGCTGACAGTGTTTGATGCCATTGATAAAATTTGAATTTTCAATGCCAAATTAGAATCTTGGAGAACCTTTTTTTACTCTTTTTTTAAAGTAATCTTTACATCTAATGTGGGGTTTGAACTCACGACCTTGAGGTCAAGAGTTATATGCTCTACCAACTGAGCCAGCCAGATGCCTGAATTTTGGAGAACTTGTATCTGCTACTTTGAGCTTGACAGTTCCTCAAGACCTAAAGAATATTCTATTGAGATTGGTGGTGATAGTAACAAATGTGATTTGTCACTATAACTCAGGAACCAGTACTTTCAAAATGTCCAATGTGTGATGTGACAAACTCATGCATTGATAAAAGAGCCATTCAGTGGGCAAGACAGACCAATGGATTTGGATGTAATGGAAAGAAATTTCATTGACAAGAATTTACATTCTACATGGCAACTAAGCTTTAAGAAACTACCACTTGGGGCACCTGAGTGGCTCACTGGGTTGGGCTCCCGACTTCAGCTTAGGTCATGATCTCACGGTTCCTGGGTTCGAGCCCTGCGTCGGGCTCTGTGCTGACAGCTAGCTTAGAGCCTGGAGCCTATTTCAGATTCTGTGTCTCCCTCTCTCTCTGACCCTCCCTTGCTCATGCTGTCTCTCTCTCTCTCAGAAAAAAAAGAAAAAAAGTTAAAAAAACAAAAGAAACTACCACTTGTCAAGTTTTGGGATAGTAGTAAATAACAATATCCACAGTATTTGAAAAGGCTACTAAGATACTCACCCCATTTTCAACTACATACCTATGTGAGATTTCCCTCAAATCTTGTAACCAGAACAGCATCCGACAGTAGATTGAGTGCAAAATCATAATATGAGAATCTAGTCACCTTCAATTAAAAAGATTTGCACAAATATAAAACACTGTCACTATTGTCACTAAATACTTTTTTTGTTTTGGATAATATAGTTATTTTTAATAAAAATTGTGTTAACATGTAATGAACTTTAATGTTTAATTAAAAAGTTTTTAGTCTATTTTAATATCAACGTTGGTAGATATTTGCAGGTACAATGCACAAAAAGAAAAATTTTTTGAGGTTGTCAATTATTTTAGGAATGTAAAGGGAGGTCCTAACACCAGAAAGTTTCATAAGTGTTGTACATCATGCTCATTTACCATGAAGTCAGTTCTGTGAAATGGGAGAAAGAACGTTCATTGCTAAATATTTCAGTACCACCTATTAATCATTTTCTTTCAAAAAACTAAGAGGTGAATACAAAAGCTTGTGGAAAGAATGAAACAAAAATTTCTAAAAATTTAGTTTTTAAAACACGCACGTGTGTGTGCCCCCCCATCCCCCACGTAGTGTTACATTTTCCAGATATGGATTATCTAAAAGCATACCTCTGAGGGTGCATTGTAGAATAGTTAAATAATCATTACATAATTGCTATAATAGTTGTAATTGAATGATAGTCTATTGTGCTTTACATGCATGAATTATATTCCTCACTTAAAGTCCTGTGTAAGTAAATTAAGTGTTTTGGTCTTGCTCACATGGTAAGCTTTAAGAGCTGGATTCAGGCACTTGTTTTTGTCTTACCCTGAGGCTCTTATTCTTTTTTCTTTATTATAATGCTGTTTAAAAGGTCTCTTTCTTTTGACAAGACTAGATAAAGACTTGTCTTCAGTTTTAGTTTGATAATTAAGGCAAAGGAGCTTGTCTTCTAGAGTGACAGAGAATGCAGAAGTGAATTCAGTTAAGCTAAAACAAATGGCCAGGCACTGATCTCCATCAGGCAATGACAGCCTTCCTAATCGACTCAGCTAGTATGAACAAATTAATAGGCAGCATGATTTGTATTTTTGGATGATTCTTAATTTAATATCATTTATATTATGATCATATTTCTAGGTTTCTCCAGTGACAGTGATTTGATATCTCTTACTGTGGACGTGGATTCTCTTGCTGAGTTAGATGATGGAATGGCTTCCAATCAAAACTCTCCCATTAGAACTTTTGGTCTCAATCTTTCTTCGGATCCTTCATCATTAGGGGCCGTTGCTTCTGACAGCGAACAGAACAAAACAGAAGAAGAAAGGGAAAGTCGTAGCCTCTTTCCTGGCAGTTTAAAGTCCAAGCTTGGCAAGAGAGATTATTTGGAGAAAGCTGGAGAATTAATAAAGCTGGCTTTAAAAAAGGAAGAAGAAGATGACTATGAAGCTGCCTCTGATTTTTATAGGAAAGGAGTCGATTTACTCCTAGAAGGTGTTCAAGGTACAATTTTATCTGTATTAATATGTTTTGGAATGTTCTTATGTTGGTATCTGGAAAGAAAGTGTATACATGTAACTGTATCTTATGTATAATCCTATGTCCAAACAAGACTGAAAATGAGAAATTACTGAAGATTAAATGATCTAAATTTGGGGATGCCTGGGTGGCTCAGTCAGTTAAGTGTCTGACTCTTGATTTCGGTTCAGGTCATTATCTCACAGTTTGTGAGATCGAGCCCCGTGTTGGGCTCTGTGCTGACTCTGTGGAGTAAGCTTCGAATTCTCTCCCTCTCCTTTCTCTCTGCCCCACCACACTCATGCTCCCCCCTCCCCAATAAATAAATAAGCATTAAAAAAGATGTAAATTGGGGTATTAACTTAGTTACATGAAGGGAGTGCAGTATCAGTTACTTAATGCTCTACTTGAATCAATTAACCAACAAAAACAGTATTAAAAACACTCAAATCTCCATGCCTCTTGTATGAATAATAATGTTTTTTCTGACATGGCCACTGTTCGTCAGCCTTCACCTCTTACAGGAGTATTCACAGAGTTTTAGTGCATTTATTCCTGCTGGCCTGAAGAGAGGAGATGAAATGTAAAGGTTCTTGGATTTACCCACTGTTATTTTCTTTCTTAGTTGCCATAAATTCTCAGGTAATTACTGGGGGTGATTTGGGACATTTAGAGATGAATGTTTCTAATGTCTGTAAGTAGAACTTAACCTTTTTTTGTTAAGCCTAAGATTTTTTTAGTCATTTGCCTTTTGCATATAAGAAACAGAGTAAAGCATACCACAGTTAGTTACATGGCATTCTGGACACAAAAGTCAAAGGTTGATAAGACCTTCTTCCAATAGTTTTCTTTCTAAAAAATCATCATTTCTTACTGTTGTTCTGTGATCTTTGACTTGTTAGAACCATTCCAATTACCCTAGTCTCCTGTAGCATGTACTTGTAACTTGTAACCTCACCACACTTGGTGTCCTGTCCTCCAGAAGTGGTCTGTTTTATGAGAGTTTAAAACAATTTTTTCTTAATGTTTATTTATTTTTGAGAGAGAGACAGAGGGCAAGCTGGGAAGGGGCAGAGAGAGAGGGAGACACAGAATCTGAAGCAGACTCCAGGCTCTGAGCTGTCAGCATAGAGCCCAGTGAGGGGCTCAAACTCATAACGGCAAGATCATGACCTAGGTTGAAGTCGGACGCTCAACCAACTGAGCTACCCAGGCGCCCCTGTTTTATGAGAGTTTAAACTTTCAGTCTTCCAATGTGGTATAGGATGAATACTTGGCTGCATGGACCGGAAGAGGGAGTGTGTCGAGTGGCATCAGCGCTTCTTAACCAGAGTTTTCACTAATTCGCTTCTTTTTAGCCTTTACTCTCATTTCCGAGCTACCCAGTGCTATGAGTTTACAAACTTCTGGGGAGATTTACAGTGTCATAGAAGTCAGGCAGCTTTCTTGAGCTTCTTAAGTCAATAACCACTCATCCATCTGTTTTTGAGCTTGTAAAATGTTGTTGCTGCAATCTTCTCTCTTAGTCTCTTTGTCCTTGGGGGCTTGTGCCTTAAAAATAATTCTTTTACTGCCATGTTAATAGAGTTACAGGAGGGGCCATTTCTCCTGGTTGACTGATAATATCATTTTGATACAAATTTTTGTTTCTCTTTTTAAATATTTTTTAAGGTTTATTTATTTATTTTGAGAGAGAGAGAAAGAGCGTGAGCCAGGGTGGGGGGGGGGCAGAGAGAGAGAGAGAGAGAGAGAGAGAGAGAGAGAGAGAGAATCCCAAGCAGGCTCCACAGAGTCAGTGGAGAACCTGACACGGGGCTCGAATTCATAAAACTGAGATCGGGACCTGAGTCGAAATCAAGAGTCAGATGCTCAACCCACTGAACCACCCAGGTGCCCCACAAATTTTTGTTTTTCAAGTAGTGTCATCATTAGTTGGGGTTTCTTGTTTGCTGTTAGAGCATTCTGGTCTTTGAAGATCCCTACATTTTCTTCTTTGTCTTAACTCCCATTTTTGATTGGGAGTTTAAAGTCAGGATGAGTTGCAATTAGTTCTGATACTTTTCCTTTTTTTGGATAATTTTGTGCTGAAAAAATCACTAGTGTTTAATTGACATAACAGCAGTGTGATCTTTTGCTGTCTAAAGTTATTTGCATTTAAACTTAGAGCACTTCATAGTATGACCACTTGATGGCGCCAGAAAAATAAAAATCTTGACTTAAGAATGAGAATTATGGATGCATATCCGCAAATAACAAAAAATATCATTTAGTTACTTTGTGATTATTATGGTGAATTATTTCTCACTAGAACTTGATACTAAATATAGTAGACTTCTATCTTCAGGAATGTTATGACCTAAACACGTTTTTCCTATTTATCATAGGCCCGTCTTTCTGAAACCAGGATAGATACCTGTTCCTGCCCTGAACTGGTTTTTGTTGTTAATGTGCCATCAGAATTAAAAAATGATACCTGACTAATGGCTTTTTAGTCTTTTTTGGTTTATTAGTAATCCAAATTTGTATTCATACAGACTGTGGGAACCATAATCACAGAATTCGAATAATTTTTAACCAATATGTAAAATAACCTTTATTTTAGTCCTTGTGGTTATACTTTTAACTATGTGTTAAATGTAACTTCAGAGCAGTGCTTCAGCTACCTCCTAACAGACACATGGACATAATTGGTTTAAAAAAAATTCTCCCTAGTTTTACTGAGATGTAATTGACATATAACATTATACTAAAGGTATACAAAGTAATGATTTGATATATGTATGTATTGTGAAATGATTACCATAAGTTTAGTTAATATCTTTTCCCTCACATAGTTAATAGTTTTTATTTCTTATGATGAGAGTTTTTAAGATCTACTTTTTTAGCAACTTTACGTGATACAGTATTTTTAACTATAGTCACCATGTTGTACATTAGGTCCACAGAGTTTATTAATTTTAGAAATGGAAGTTCCTATCCTTTGGCCACCTTTGCCCACTTTACCCACCCCCAACCCCTGCTCAAATTTGGTAACCACTAATCTTCTGTTTCTATAAGTTTGGTTGTTTTTAGTTTCTATACATAAATGAGATCATATAGTATTTGTTTCTCTTTCTGACATATTTCACTTAGCATAATGACTTCAAGGTCCATTCATGTCATTAATAAGATTTCTTTTAATGCTGAATAATAATTCCTCTGTGTGTGTGTGTGTGTGTGTGTGTGTGTGTGTGTGTGTGTGTGTGTCTTGACTATCGTAAATAATGCTGCAATGGACATGGACGCTATCTCTTTGAGACAGTGATTTTGTTTCCTTCAGACATGTACCTAGAAATGGAATTTCTGGAACATATGGTAGTTCTATTTTTAGTTTTTTGAGGAATCTTCATACTGTTTTCTATAATGGCTGCACCAATTTTAATGTTCCTACCAGCAGTGTCTAAGAGTTCCCTTTTCTCCACATCCTTGTCAACACTTGTTATCTGTTGTCATAAAAAAATTTTTTTTTTAGTGTTTATTTATTTTTGGGAGAGAGAGAGAGAGAGACTGAGTGCAAATGGGGGAGGGCTAGAGAGAGAGAGAGAGGAAGACACAGAATCCGAAGCAGGCTCCAGGCCCCGAGCTGTCAGCACAGAGCCCGATGCAGGTTTCGAACCCACAAACTGCGAGATCATGACCTGGGCTGAAGTCAGACGCTTAACTGAGCCACCCAGGTGCCCCTGTTGTCTTTTTGATGATAGACATTCTAACAGATTTGAGGTAATATTGAATTATGGTTTTGATTTGGAGTTCCCTGATGTTGTATGATGTTAAATAACTTTTCATGTACTTGCTTGGCATTTTTATGTCTTGTTTGAGAAAATATCTTCTTAATTCCTTTACTCATTTTTTGATCATATTGATTAAGAGTTTTTTGATATTAAATTATGTTTTCTTTATAAATTTCTTATCACGTGATTTGCAAATATTTTTTCCCATTTGGTAGATTGAATTTTCATTTTGTTGATGGTTTCCTTTGCTGTGTAGAATATCTGTAGTTTGATGTAGTCTTGCTTGTTTATTTTTTCTTTTGCTGTCAAATGGAAAAAAATCATGCCAGGAAAGCTTACCTCCCTGTTTTTATCTAGGATTTTATGTTTTCAGATTTTATGTCCAAGTCTTTAATCTGTTTAATCTGGGTTATGTGTAAATTATGTGTGTATGGTGTAAAATAGGGGTCTGGTGTTATTATTATTGTTTATTTTTTTGCATGAGGCTGTTCATTTTTGTCAGTACCTTTTAGTAAAGAGACTGTCTTGTCTCTAGTTTATATTTTTGGCTCCTTGTCATAAATTAACTGACTCTGTGTATGTGGTTTTATTTCTGGGATCTCTATTTTGTCCCATTGATCTGTGTGTCCAGTACCACACTGTTTTGATCACCATAGCTTTGTAATATAATCTGAAATAAGGAAATGCTTTGTTCTTTATTCACAGGATTGCTTTGGCTATTTAGGGTTTTTGTGGTTCCATACAAATTTTAGGATTGCTTTTTTCTACTTATGTGAAAAATGTCTTTGGAATTTTAATAGGGATTGCATTGAATTTATTGATTTCACTGGGTAGTATGGACATTTTAACAGCACTAATACTTTCAATCCATGAGCATGGAATATCTTTCCATATATTTTTGTCTTCAATTTTTTTCAGCAATGATTTGTAACAGATTTCATCTGTTATTAGTTCTAACAGTTTTTGATGGAGTCTTCAGGGTTTTCTGTATATAATACGATGCCGTCTGCAGATAGAGACAGTTTTAGTTCTTCCTTTCTGGTTTGGATGCCTTTTTATTTCTTTTTCTTGTCTGATTGCTTTGGCTAGGACTTCTAGTACTATGTTGAATCATATGTGTGTGTATACACACGCACACATGCACACACACACCTTTTTTAAGTGTTTATTTTTGACAGAGAGAGAGAGAGAGAGAGAGAGAGAGAGAGAAAGCAG